AAGCAGGAGAATTTCAACATGGCAGCAGGAGCAACCATCAACTAGAACAAGTCAGTAGGAGTGAACTGGGGAAAGCTAGGCATCGAGGCCTGGGGGCTGGAGATAGGCTTTCAGTGGCTTGGCCCAGGTGAAGACACCTGGTACCTCAGCATCCAAGTTGGGGTCCAATACAATGTAGGCACACACGACGACACACTTCTCAAGAGGATCTGGACTGCAGTTCAGAAATGGACCCCAAGGAAACTTGGGCTCCTAGTGCGGATCATAATAGTCAAGAGCATGATCCTCCCTAGCATCTGGTACCACCTCTCAATCTGGCCAGTTGTGAGACACAAATCCCTAAGCCCCAAAGTGGAGCCGAAAGGGTGCCACGTGGTAGTGGCCGAAGCAAATGCCAAACAAGCGTAACACATTTGGACTAAAAGCTCTGACTTGAAAGGTCGAGAGCAGGAATGGAACTCCCAATGAAATGCTCAAGGAACAAGCACAAAGCGAGCAATAAGTGAGTCTCTAGAAAAGGGACACAAGAGGACCAACACATGACACATGGAGGAGTTCGAGATGGAGTCTAAGATGGACCCAAGATGGAGTCCGAGATGGAGTCTGAGATTGACCCGAGATAGAGTTCGAGATGGAGTCCGAGATGGACCGAGATGGAGTCCAAGAAGGACCCGAGATGGAGTCTGAGATGGAGTTCAAGATGGAGTTCGAGATGGACCCGAGATGGAGTCTGAGATGGAGTTCGTGATGGACCCAAGATGGAGTCTGAGAAGGACCCAAGATGGAGTCTGAAGTCGAGACCGAGACCAAGACCGGGACCAAAACCGAGACCGAGACCGAGGCCGAGGCCGAGACCGAGCCCGAGCCCAAGTCCGAGTCTGAGTCCGAGTCCGATACTTGGATACTTGGCGTGGCTCAACAGAACCTTGCTCTAGCACCATGGCTAGAGCACCCAAAGGCGGAAAGCAGAGAGAGTACCCATGAGGCTTGCACGGTGTTCTGAAATGTTGTCCCAAAGTCCTAGACTGTAGAATGGAAGAGGAGCAGTCCTCTAGTGTGGCGACCAAGGATATGGTCATGTGGTGAGAAAGTCCCAAAGGACAATGTGACTTAGTGGTTGGGCCAGTGGGCCTTGTCCCAGTGGCAGAGTAGGCAAACTCGGCCATGGACAGAAAAGGGATTTGGTGGGGACTGTAAAAGCGATATTGGGGAAGGCAGTTCCCCCTGTCGGCGGGAATTTTAAGGATGCTAAGAAGTGGATCTTGGATGGTCACTCTTGGACGGATGGCCCAATTTTGGAGAGACGGGACTGCGATGCAGGTGGTGCTGGACCACAAGTGGTACCAAGGTGAATGGGCATGGCATTAGCGTAACAGGCTAGTATGCCTGTGGTACCTTGGGGTGTCAATCTTGGGATTGGACACGTGGAGCACTAGGACCAAGTGCAATGGTTGAGTGGTCTGGATGCCATTTTTGGGGTTAGCAAGTCTCTAAGTCCAGAATAGGACTTACGAAGGTTGTGAGTGAGACTCCTCCAAATGATTGAAGGTGTGGTTAAATGACTAAAGTAGAATGGAAAATTTAATACCAATGTTGGAGACTACATTGTAGAAGGTGAGACAGATGGTGAAAACCTATGTATGGCGTGGAGCATTGGCTACAAAGCGGACCATGGCCAAGATGGTGTGGGAGTCTACAGTGAGGCTACGCATCCTAGGGGGGCTGGGGATCATCAACCCCAGCAATATGGTAAAGGCATTAAGGTACAAGATTTTTCTCATGGGCCTACAACCGGGGAGACAGCCATGGCAACTCATGTTCCAGTAGAGCCTCCTAGTGATACACCCCAAACACAATACAGCCAAACTGTGGGAGGAGGACCCACGGTGGCTCTTTGTAGAAGGACTGTGTAGCGCACCTTATCTCTCTCCCCTTAAGCCAACTGGAAAAGGGGCAATTGCTTGATGAGAGAGCCCTTAGTGGCTATTTTATCCCCATTTATCTCCCAAGGTTCCAAGGATCCACGGTGACAGTATATCCAAATCTCATCCCATGATCACATGCGCTACACTCACCCCCCCTTCAGAGATGTCAATGTCCTCATTGACTATTGACTAACAACCCCTACTGAGCCAAGGGGAACCAGCACCTCCATTTCCGCACTCAATCTACCAATCCTTCCATTGTGTAGACCAGCTATTCCATGTGAGGCAACTAGTCATCCACCCGTACCGCAGTCCCACGGTGGATACCTTCGTCCGTGGATACTCCACAGAAGAGGAAGGACGTACGCATGGATGCCCAATATGTATGATTTCAAATTTAGGGGTAGGAATATACCTTGTTCAAGGGTATATTATACTTTTAAGTAGCCACTAATCAATAGGATTCGAACCTGTGCCATTTGCTCCGATACCAACTGTAGTGCACCTTATCTCTCTCCCATTAAGCCAACTGGAAAAGGGGCAATTGCTTGATGAGAGAGCCCTTAGTGGCTATTTTATCCCCATTTATCTCCCAAGGTTCCAAGGATCCACGATGACAGTATATCCAAATCTCATCCCATGATCACATGCGCTACAGACTGACTTGTGAGACACAAAATCGCTAGGCTCCAAAGTGGAGCCAGAAAGGGTGCCACGTGGTAGTGGCCGAAGCGAAAGCCCAAACGAGTGTAACACGTTTGGACTAAAAGCTGTGACTTGGAAGGTTGAGAGCGGGAGTGGAACTCCCAACAAAGTGCTCAAGGAGCGAGCACGAAGCGAGCAATAAGCAAGGCTCCAAAAAGGGACCCAAAAAGGACCAACACATGACACGTGGAAGTGTCCGAGATGGAGTCCGAGGCGGACCCTAGATGGAGTCCGAGATGGACCGAGACAGAGTCCGAGATGGAGTCCGATATGGAGTCCGAGATGGACCCGAAGTGGAGTTCGAGATGGAGTCCGATATGGAGTCCGAGATGGACCCGAAGTGGAGTCCGAGGTGAACCGAGACGGAGTCCGAGATGGACCGAGACGGAGTCCGAGATGGAGTCCGAGAAGGACCCGAGATGGAGTCCGAGGTCAAGACCGGGACCGAGACCGAGACCGGGACCAGGACCGAGACCAAGACCGAGGCCAAGGCTGAGACCGAGCCCGAGCCCGAGTCCGAGTCCGAGTCCAAGTCCGAGTCCGAATCCGAGTCCGAATCCGAGTCTGAGTCCGAGTCCGAGTTCGAGTCTGAGAGGGTGAAAGCCCAAAGCGTTCGTCTCCCAGACCCTGGGGGGTTTGGTGAGCTCCAAAAGTATAGTAAGGGGGAGGACTGCAGTGGAGCCAGTTTGGCCAGGAAAGGCCAGTTTGGCCCAGGAAGGTCAGACCCAGTGTTGGGTGATGAACTGACCACTGGGAAGTCCAAGACTAGAGTGAATACGGACCGACAAGCGGGGTAGCTTGGTGAAGTGTTCAAGAGCCGGCTCTAGTTCCCCTGGGAGATCGACTGGCCGATGCTCCTAGTCCAAGTGTGGGTGGCACTACCTACTTGGATACCAGGCGTGGCTCAACGGAACTTCGCTCTAAGCCCATGGCTAGAGCACCCAAAGGCGGAAGGTGGGGAGAGTACCCAGGTGGCTCGCGTAAGGCCACAGTGTTCCGAAATGTTGTCCCAAAGGCCCAGACTGTGGAAAGGAAGAGGAGCAGTCCTCTGGGGTAGTGACCAAGGACACAGTCATGTGGTGAGGAAGTCCCAGAGGACCGTGGGACTTAGTGGTCGGGCCTGTGGGCCTCGATCCAGTGGTAGTGTTGGTGAACACGGCCATGGGCAGAAAGGGACTTGGTGGGGACCAGAAAAGAGATATTGGGGAAGGTTATTCCCCACGTCTGTGGGCATCCTAAGGATGCTAAGGAGTGGATCTAGAATGATCACTCATGGCCCACGGATGGTCCAGTCCTTGAGAGACGGGATTGTGATGCAGGTGGTGTTAGACCACCGGTATGACCAAGGTAAAGGGGCATGGCCTTAGCGTAACGGGCTAGTAGGTCGGTGGTACCTTGGGGTGTCGATCTTGGGACCGGACACGTGGAGCACCTGGACTAAGTGCAAGGGATGAGTGGCATGGATGCCATTCTCGGGGCTAGCAAGTCCCAAGTCCTGAATTGGACTTAAGGAGGTTGTGAGTGAGACTCCTCCAAGTGGTCGAAGGTGTGGTTAAGTGACTAAAGTAGAATGGAAAAATTAGTCGCATACAACTTGGTATCGGAGTTGTTCCTTAGTCCGACTTTTATTGGTGCTCAAGTATATCACCATTGATGTTGGCATCGAAAGGTCCTAGGAGTGGGCTTATCCTTAAGGAGTAGCATGTCGAGAGGACATGGCTCTCCACTCAAGTTCATACGTGAACTTCAGCACAATGTGGTGGATAGAAAAGGGCCAATAATGGAACGACTTTGGGATCTTGGGAACAGTATAAGGTTTCCTCAGAGAGCTGAGGATGTGATCCGAATGAGTGTTTGACGCAACAAATGGGCTAACATAGTTGTGATAAACAACTATAGTTGGGATCACGGGAAAGATAAAGACTCCAAAGCAATAAAGGAGTCACAAGATTACCCTCATATAGTTGAGGTTGGTGCTCATGAATGTGAGACCAGAACGAGTGTAACACGTAAGCCCAAACGAGTGTAACACGTTTAGACTAAAAGCTCTAACTTGGAAGGTCGAGAGCGGGAGTGGAACTCCCAACAAAGTGCTCAAGGAGCGAGCACGAAGCGAGCAATAAGCAAGGCTTCAGAAAGGGACCCAAAAAGGACCAATACATGACACATGGAAGTGTCTGAGATGGAGTCCGAGGCGGACCCTAGATGGAGTCCGAGTAGGACCGAGACGGAGTCCGAGATGGAGTCCGATATGGAGTCCGAGATGGACCCGAAGTGTGGTTTGAGATGGAGTCCGATATGGAGTCCGAGATGGACCCGAAGTGGAGTCCGAGGTGAACCGAGACGGAGTCTGGTGGTGCTTCTATGAGAATGGATGGCAATGTCCAAGGATTTCCACCGGTGGTATCATCCCAGTCAAGTGGAAGTGGCTGCAGTTCCCTGTTTTTTAGCAAACAGAGTCAAGTCCATATTGTTGATTCGATGGATCCTGAGCGGAAGAACCGAGTTGATGTGGCTATCGAAAGATTTTTCTGGAATGAACACATTCCATTTGTCAAGGCTTGGTCACCTTACTTCCTCAACATGATACAGGAAGTTGCCAGGCATGGTGTGCCTTATGCACCACCAAAATATGATGATCTCCGGGATAAGCTTTTGGTGAAAGAGAAACGATTCATTGACATTGAGATGGCGTCCTTGAGGAAGCAGTGGGAGCAGAGGGGTGCAACCATATGCGCAGATGGGTGGGCAGATAGGAGGAATCGGCATATCATGGGGCTTGTGGCATATAGTCAAGGACGAGGAGCTTTTTTGAAGGCTATCGACATTTCCTTAACAGGAAAAACAGCTGAAAATACTCTGCGCTGCTGGGAAGAAGGCATTAACATTGTAGGTGCAGAGAACGTTGTCATGGTTGTAACCGATGGGGAAAATGCAAACAGAGCAGCAGCAGCACTTTTGCAACAGAGGTACCCAAAAATTCAATGGGCAGCATGTTTTGCCCATTGCTTGAACAATGCCTTGAAAGACTTCGGTGTACTTCCATGGATGGCAACACTTCTGGAGCGTGGAAAGTCTTTGGTGATCTTCGTTAGAAACCACTCTCATATAGTGGCACTGTTGGCGGTGTTTACTCACAAGCGATTACTGCGTTATTGTGATACCAGGTTCGGCTACAACTTCATTATGATGGAGAGGCTGGTGGAGCTCCGAGAAGCTTTACAACAGATGTTCGTATGCCCTGCGTACAGAGCAAGGCCTGAGTCGAAGTCGAGAGCAGGAAGGGACAGTTATGCAACGGTTTTTGATGACAGTTTCTGGCAACAGGTTAAGGACATGCTAGAGGTGTCCAAGGATGTTATGCTGCTTCTTCGTGTTGTGGACTGTGATATACCTGCGATTGGAAAGATATATGAGTGCATGAACAGGTTGGATGCAAGTTTAGAGGAAGGACAGTCGGATTATGGCAGGTACAGGGAACTTCATCAGATCATGTCTAATAGGTGGCATGAGTATCACTCGCTCATGCACTCGGTGGCGTACATGTTGGACCCCGAGTTTCAGGAGTATGAAAAGCATGCTAACAGAGAGGTCATGAAGGACTGGAATGCTTATCTGCTGGCCATGTTTACATCCAGTGAGAGGGATGTGATACGTGATGAGCTTTTAACTTACCGGAGGATAGGAGGCATTTTCAACTCATATGATGCTAAGGCTGATCGCACTAAGAGGGGAGCTGTACGTTGGTGGGAGGACTATGGTTATGAACTCCAGCTCTTCAGAAGTTGACCATTCGAGTTCTAAGTCAGGCATGCTCGTCGTCCTCGGTGGAGAGATTGTTCAGTACTTTCCAGCATGTTTCTTCAAAAAAGAGGAACAGACTTACCATGGACAGGACAGCGGATCTGGTTTTTGTGGCTTGCAACACCAGGTTGTTAACCTACAAAAATGATCGTGATTACGACAAGTTTGTAAGCTACAAAGTCCTGGAGACAGTTCCTCATCCTGAAGACGAGCTTGAGTCAGGACAGGAAGAGGAAGATGGAGATGATGTCAAAGATCGTGAGGTCGAAGATCATGAGGTTGAAGATGACGATGAGATGCAGGATATTTGAGTAGTTTAAAAGTGTGAAGTAGTTTATGTGCAAATAAAAATATTAAGAATAATATAATAAAATATAGCATATTCCTATAATAATATAATAAGAAATAGAATATAATTTTTAAATAACATATTCTTAGAATATTCAGTAGAATATTTGTGAGCCATCGTGGGCCGTGATCGTTTTCCGTGTTCGGGTTCCTGAAATCTGAGGCTCGTGTTCGTGTTCCGTGTTCGTGTTCGTAACTATGTTCGTAACATTGTATAGCTATTGCTATAAAGAATAAAAATTAGCTCTACTATACAAAAAAAATATAGACAACAATATATAGCAACAAGTTCAGCAATAGAAGATAAACTCAAGTTTATATTAGCCAACACAAATAGAATAATTGGAGACATCTTATTATGAAAATAAACTTGGAAAGTAAATATTACATGAACTAATGCTAAATGAACCCTTTAATGATACTTCTAAAAAAAGGATGGAGGGGTCATTAACTTATTTGTATAAGGACCCTTCACTACTTATATGACTCCTCATTTCCCAAAATAATCTCAATGTTTAGACCTTCCATCATAGCAATGCCAATAGGACGTGGTTGACACAAAAGCTTTCACCCAAGAAATAAAGGATACTAATTCGGAAAATGCTAATATATATAGCTAATTTCATCATATACCTAGCAATGAACATCATAACCACGACCACATCTTCACCTCAGTCCTTGAACACAAGCAAGAACAACATCAACCTCTATCGGAACAATACCATTTCCTATAGAAAGTAGAGCTGAAAGACATGCAGTGAGAAGTGGAAAAGGCAATATCTCATAATATTGTGTTAGTCGAAGAGCATCATTAAGGGTGGATAAATATAGTGTATGTAATCATGGAATGAGATTTAGATATACTATCGTTGTAAATCCTTAAAACCTTAAAGGATAAATGGGGATAAAATAATTATTAAGGCTTCTTTCATCAACCAATTGCCCTTTTTCAAGTTAGTTTAAAGGAACAGAAATAAAGTGTAATACATATGGTATCGGAGTAAATGGCATAAGTTTCATTTCCATTGATTAGTGGCTACCAATTTTTGAGTGTAAATAAAACTCTTTAGTTCCAGAAGAATGCTTGTTGGTAACTCTATGAATGCTTTAGAAGATTAGTGGCTACCTATTTTTGAGTGTGATAAAACTCTTTAGTCATATTCTTGATTTACTACAAGATAAAACTTTAATTCCCATTTATAGGTATGTACTCATTAATGATATTAAGCTATTTATGTTACTTAATATCTTTTGTATTAATATTAAATTTTATCTCTAGTCTAGTAGAATAATAATATATTACAAAGTTATCTTTGACATGTATTACCACCAGAAGAACATAAACATTGGACATTTTTTATCTATCTGAGAGTAGTGGAAGCAATAGTGGCATGTTGGAAGTCTTTATAAGCCATCCACTTGAGGGAAATACTTTATGAGTACTATTAGAAGTAAGAATTAAAGAATATGCTTGAAATGCATCATTACATATAAGAAGAATGCAAATTGTAAAGGCAATAGTAGCATTGTGGCATAAAGACTTAACAACAATTGAACCTACAAATCCACTTCAAATGATTTTCAAACTAAAATTAACAACTACCAATAATTGGTATTGAATTGCGTATATGCAATTGTAAAGATATTCAAATTTTAATATGTAAGTATATCTATGTTTTGCATAATATCATAAAGAGGTTATTTCCTGCAATTATCAATCTTTATATATTAATCTTCACAACTGAAAAAAGCTACATTATCTCAAGAATAAACTAAATATAAAACCAGAATGTCAATAAAACTACATATGAAGATGCAAAAAAAGAAATATGAAAATAAGTAACTGAAAGCACGTGATCTATTAATAGTCTAAATGGAGAAGTTGGTGGCAAAGACTATAAATGTAAAAGCTATTATAGGGGTGAGATAAACATTTTGACACAAATGAATTATTGGACATCTTGAAATAGATGTTGATAGTTATACATAGATGGATGTCGCTAAGCTAGGTGTTATTTAGGAGTGAAGACAAACATGTAAAAACTAACAAAAAAGAAAGACAAAAGCAATATAAAGCATTTCATACACTCAAAGATCCACCTATCTTAAGTGCAATATAAAATCCCTTGTGAGCTATAAATTATTGCCTTTAAAATTGTAATGACATATAGGTGTAAAACAAAAATCCCTAAGTTCCACAATGGAGCCGAAAGTGTGCCACATGGTAATGGCTAAAGTGAAAATCCAATGAGTGTAACAAGTTTGGATCAAAAACTTCAACTCAAAAAGTCAAGAGTAAGAATGGAACTCCTAAAGAACCACTTGAGGAATGAGCACTATAGTGTTTAATCATTTTGATATTAGAAAAGTCATGATAAATATTATGTTGACATTAAGCTTAAACATTTGCAAAACTTTTTGTATTCAATTGTACTATATACTCTCTTACTTCTTTGCATAAAGAACACTATATTTGCTTTGGATCTATTCAATTGCCTAGCCAAGTCAGTTACACTTCGGAGGTGTCAATCTAGTGCTAGAAAAAAGCTTAGCAGCCAAGAAATAGTGACAAGCATTTGTAAGTGTCTATGTCCATTATAATTCTATTCATAGTATATCTTACTAGAGGAATAATGAAAAGTTATATGAGGATTGACATCCACTCCCATTGATTGCTTTATTTATCATTCAGTTAATTAACTCCAGATTTCATAGAGGAGTCCCAAATGGTATATAAACTTGAGATCAAAGTATGTAACCAAGCCGAGCAATGAGCAAGTAATCATGTCAAAGATTTTTCTAAGTGCAACATAGGTACTTCTTCTTCCACATAATAAACTTTGATTTCTATTGATATCACTACACCTAACTTTGAAGTATCCTCAAACTAGCATGCAGTAATAGATATTTAGAATACAAGTTATTTATAAAGTTTTATAGTGGAGGTTTTAATATTAATTTAATGATGCTAAAAAAATATAAGGAAAGTTAAACTATTTTATAAATCCATCTTTATGAAATATTTATATCTACTATACAGTAGTTAAAAATACTTCTAGAAGACTAGCATAGCATCGAGCTTGGGCTTAAACCTAAGTTGAACATAAAACAAAGAGTGACATAAAAACCCTCTATATGTCACGTGTCCAAAGGACAGTGATGCAAAACCCAAGTTTCAGGGCTTTGAGCCACTAAATGAAGGAATAGTGCCAAACTCCCAAGCATGGAGTCAAGGAGCAATGGCATTGAAGCACAGAACTCCCAAACATACAACCTATGGAGCAAAGGAACAAGAGTGTAGAGCAATTTGGAACAGTTTTAGAGCATCCAACATCCCAATATTAAAACTAGCATGCAAAATAGAGCTAAATAGAGTCTGGTGCTATTTTAGCATACTAGTGGCCTAACGTGAGGATATAAGTACTCCACCAACTAACATAATGTGGAACTTGGGCTTAGACCCAAGTTAGATGTAATATAAGGATAGGCACTCAACTAGGAGCTAGACTATGCCTTAGGTTGGTCAGCTATGCCTGACCTACCCACTATCCCTACTATATATTTGGAACCCCCCTCCTTGAGGAACACATGCTTTGGGCTTTCACCCCAAACCTCCCTTAGTATTAGGAGTTAAGTCTCTGGGACAAACTCAAAATTACTAAATATAGAATGTTCTTAGATTCCAAATTTGGATACGGGATGATTAGAACAATCTTTACATTCCGTAGATATGCCAAAATCATTAATTTAGACACTTTCCATAAATAGCATTTGAGACTAGAATGAAACTAACACAAAAGGCATGATAGTGAAGGTGTTTGGTAGATACGGTAAGTTATCATCCAGCGATATTGAGAGATTAGTCTCAATATGTGAGGGTTCTTGTCACTAGCCAGTGCAAAACATAACGAAACAGGAACTCCTTACTGGGCTAAATATGCTTAGTTAATAGTATATGGGAATTCCTCCCTTATGTTCGTATGGTCTAAGTACCCTCAAAATGCCCAAGTCGTGGCAATAAAAAAAGAGTGTTCGTAAAGATTGGTCGATAGGTAACTTTTGATACCCAAAGTCACATTCGTGACACTTAGCCCAGTGAAAGCTAAATTAACATCTCAAATAATTGGCTATGCAATCTAACCACTATCCATAATATATATTTGAAACCCCCCACAGTTGACCCTCCCACCCCCTCTTCTTCCCCCACCCCCCTCCCCACCTTAAGAAATGTAGGCTTTGGGCTTTCACCCCAATTCCAAAAGTTAGTCTTTGGGACAAGTGTGAAAAATTACTAAGTATAGAATGGCACTAGATCATGAATTAGGACATAAAAACAACACTACAATTCAAAACACTTTTTACATTCCATAGACTTTTGAGCTTATTTAGACACTTACCATAAATAGTACATAGATCTGGAATGGAACTAACATATGGGGTATGATAGCGATGGTATCTAATGGATACGGTAAACTATCACATAACAATATTGAGGGACTAAACTCAATATTATAAGGGTTCCCAACATTAGCAAATGCAAGCCAACAATATAAATTTCTCATTACCATGTCAAATATGCTTAACTTCTTCCGATCTAAATTAGTTTCTCAATTAGCTTGTGTGGAGACTATAAAGGGAATCAATAATATCAACCTTCTACTATTATGATAGTAAAGAGAAAGGATCTATAAAGATTGGTTGACAAATATTTTTTGATTTTTAATGTCACATTTGTGATACTCAGTGATAATTATGCTTATTAGTCAATTTCTTATTTTGTTCTTAAGTTTGTTTCATGTTCAACTTTGCCAACTCAAGCTTATGTTGCATATCCTTCAAGAAATCACAAATATAAAGCAATGCCAAACTCAAATCCCTAAAAGACTTGAGCTCATATCCTTATATTGCCATGAATGGAAACATACTAATAGCCAATTGATAAGTGTTATTATGAGCAAATTGAAGCAAAGGCAAGTATTTCTCCTATACTCCTTGCCAAGTCAATTTTCCCATAAAAGACCTTAACATATATTTTAACAGTGATTTATATACTTTGTTTACCCATCTGATTATGGATGCTTATCACTACTCTTACTCAACTTTTTAAAGACCATTTGCCAAAATTTAGACATGAATTTAAAAATCTAATCACTTATAATATCATCTCATATTTTTCCATTGTAGAGTTGAATAATAAGATATCATCAAAGTAAGCTTACCAAAGTAAAGCTTTAAAAATTGATTTGTGAACCTTTGAGAAGTGATAAAAGGATTTGTCAAACCAAATGACATCACTAAAAATTATTTAATCCCTTGTAATTGACATAACTTTTCTTTAACTATCACCATTAGAGCAGCCCAATCTACAACCATCTTTTTTTAGGGTATTTAACAATTTATCTATTGATCTCCTCACCTTCAATAGGACTAGTATGAATCAATTGCTGACAATAAAGAGTAGCTCTAGCAATCTCATGCTGAATCCACATTCCAAGGGCAAACCATCAAAAAACTCATTTGAAAATATGTTATAGAACTCTTTCTGAATGTAGTGCACAAGAGCCTTATGCCCATAAATGTACTCTAAATCAAACAATTAAAAATAAACAATTACACCATGATAAAACTAGCTATCTTATGTGTGCACTTCACAAACTCCAAAGTATTAATCAATAAAGTATCACCATTGTTTATCTTGACAATCTCTTTCATAATACCACCAACTTTGATACATAAAATATTACACTCCCAATCGATCCATGGCCTTTAGTTATAAAACCATTCCTTCCCATGTTATTGTAGATCTTGACTAGATGCTTCTGATGATTGATATGAGTGATGACATGATCCAAATTTGGATGCTGCTGCTAGACTGAAGCTCCGAGCTAGTTTTCTGGATCTCTTGTTCAATCCCAAAATCAGCACAGCACTAGTGAGCCCCCTGGACATCGAGTTCATGTTTTGAAGCTTCT